TGATGAGTTAGTTTTCAAGCACTGCAAAAAGTAAAAAATAAAATAGATTTTTTAAAAAATAAATAAATAAATCCACAAGCGCTGCCATTAAGCAGGCGAACACTTGAAGTGTTGATATGCCATGTGAAATTAATAGCCTGATCTTCTTGATTAGCAAGAATGTTCCATTTGCTTGAAGACTTGCTTCCACCTAAATATATTAAATTTCAACCTACGATGGAGATCTTAAGGTTGCTTATGCAGAAGCAATTTCCTTGGCCATCCATGGGTTTTGTATTAGTTTACTTCTAAGGACCCTGTGAATTAGTGGTGTCCTTAACAGCTCTGCTCAGGTCTTGTAAACTAAAGGCTGTAGCTTTGTTTATTGAGTTAATCCATCTTATGATCAGTCACCCTCTATTCCTACTGCCTCCAACTTTCCCCAGCTTTATTGCCTTTTCCAGTGAGTTTTCTCATCCTATGTTATGATGTCCAAAGTACAATAGCCTCTTTTTTATTATTATTATTATTTTAGCTTCTAGTGAGGATTAAAGCTTGGTTTGAATGAGAACCCATTTATGTATATTTCTGGTGACCCATGGTATTTATACAGTTCTTCCTCCAAACCACTTTTCAAATCAAATTGCCGGTGTACAAGATGACTTTTTGGGTCCAAAAAACATGCCTCCAAGTGGGGGGGGGTCGTCTTGTACGCCGGGTGCACTGAATGACATGGGGCCACACTGCCAGGGAGCAAGGCAGGCGGGCAGATAGGCAGGCAGGCAGTTGGTCTGGATGGAGGGAAGGAAGCACAGCCTGCCATGCCTGACCGGCCAGAGCCCACCGCCGGGCTGCCTGCCGCCCTGTGCTGCTGAGCCAGCCACACGCTCACTTGCCCGCCACCCGCCTGTTTCCCTCTTCCTCCTCCTTCTCCTCCTGCCGCCACTGGCTCAGCCTCTTCTGCTCTTCCTCGCACTCTTGCTGCCATGCCTGAACCACCGCCGGGCTGCCCGCCACCCCGTGCCGCTGAGCCAGCTGTGCGCTCGCCCGCCACCC